GCTCTATCAAACTAGCAAAGTGGTTTACAGACTCCAAGTTCTACCAAGAAGTGTGTATATCACATACACAAAGCTCTCCTACCTTATAAGGGAGCCCTCAAAAGTCTACTAGTTTCCTTTTACTCTTCTCTTTACTATTCTCTCATTTACTTTATTCCATTATCAGAGGCGGAGGCAGCGGCGAACAGGGGCTAGGATCACAGGCTGGAGGATCATGCTGCAAAGAGGTGGCAGCACTACTGTTTTACTTCCTCAAGCGGACAAAACAACAGCTAAAGCGTACATGTAAACCCCGCTACAGCCTTTAAACTCTTATATAATCTAGCTAGCTAGACAGGAAGCCAGGGGCCTCCCCCCCTGGCGTCTTTTGCCCCAACGGGGACTGAAGGGCACGTGACTTGCGTACGTGCCCGCCTAGACGTTAAATAGACACACACACACACATAGTCTAAGCATCCCTATTTACTATAAGAAACCTGGATGTGCCTGTCGAGGGTTGCTCCTCTTATTATGACAGGTATCACGTGAACACGTGATTCGTGACATAGCCTAGGCTCTACTTATTAAGGTATAAATAGACTTATAAGTACCCTAGGGGCTGTTTAACCTAAATAATATATCCTCTACCTCCTATATAAACCTAAGTATTAGTAAAAGATATATTTCCTATAACTTATTAAAAGTAACTAAGTAAGCTTAAGTTATATATATTATTTAATCTATTTAATTACTTGTCTATAATAATAGTATAACTACTAATTATTATTATAAGCTCGCAAAAAGTACTTTCTTATTAACCCTCTACTGTGACGGAGCTGGATTTCATTTGACAGGATTTCATTCGCTTGGCCAAGCACGTGACGAGACTTGGCATTGGAACATCTTAAATAACTTCGCTCCTTTCAGATTCTCTTCTCTCTTTAGTTTGATTTCTTCGTACCTACGGTTTTAGTTCTAGCAATTGATTCAAAAGCTGTATACACTTTATCCTTTGTTGGCATCCGTGACATCTACTATCCCTAAGCTAGCTACTAGTTTTAGATAGTAAGATAGGCCTTAATTAAGCGCTTAGTAGCCTAGGCTCTACTTGTTAAGGTGTAAATAGCCTTATAAGTGCCCTAGGGGCTTTTTGACCCAAATAATATATCCTCTACCTCCTACGTGAACCTGAGTATTAGCAAAAGGCTGTTTTACTGATTTGAAGTAGGTTTTGACTTGAAACCTTGCAATTGTGAATCTATGAGAACCAGCAGGGGTGATAATCTGGCATCAGATTACACTGGAGGAGAAATATATGGCTCAGAAACCGTCTGCAAATACAAAAAACGTGGAGGATCTACCTTGAATCGCCAAGCTCTATCTGGCAAATCTTGCTTAAAAGTTAAGCCTCCTAATTGGATTATCAGCAATCGCCATTTTAAACTTCAGGTGTGATTCTTTTGAACTTGGTCCTAAACCCACAATTCTCTGGAGTCTCAAAGATCAGGGCATGATCCTTAGCCTTTAATATTTTTATTCCGTTGGAGGATTCGCACATGAAGTTGAAGGTGTAAATATTTAACCCGAACATGGAAATCTAGAAATTGTGTCAGATCTGCCTGGTTTTCAGATGGAAAAAAAGAGGCAGCGGAAAATTCTTATCTTTCAACTAGCATCGGTTGTTTTAATGTAAGATCGTACTTAACTTTTCAAACTCTTCGGGACAATTACCTCCATCGTCTGGGAAGTTTAGCCACTCATTCTTATTATTGTGAGTGACTAGAATAGTCACCCAATTTCACTTGTTTTACACTTATAGGAAAGGCTTGCCTGCCACGTTTCTTGTTCTCGAGGAGGTGCTATCGACAATTTTCCTAATATACGCTCGCGTAAGCCGTGTTTATAGCCCGAATGTTAGCCCGAGGAGCTGGCAAGGCTTAGTGGTTTCAGCGAATAAAACTTCCTGTTTTTAGAAGTCAATGGGTCCTCTTAATGCACAAGAACAAGAATATCAGTAGCTTCAGATATGCAATCTTACATGATGATTCATTCACTGCACGTGTCCACGCGATTTGATTTTGCTGCCGCTGGGGCCTAGCCAACACGACCCCTGAACTAACCCAACTCGATTGTGACCCACCATTGCATTAGGCAACATCCCCTACAACGGTCAAGAGGAAAACAAAAAAAAAGGTTATATACACCGCTCGAATAGAATGTCGATCTCTACGTCGTTGTCTCAACTCTATGTCGAGCAAATACAACTCTAACTTGACAAATTCCTATTAAAACCCCGAAACTTGCAAATATGAAAAACACCTCACTCGAAAATTTCTCCAACGAAATTTTCGACTGCATCAAGTCAGTCGTTATACTATATTTGGCAAACATGGACAGACAAGCCGGGTCTCCTGAGGACCTTCGGTTAACAGCCGAGACGAAGCCAGGAACCTAAGGATTAGCACTCCCTCATTCCGCAAATTCAATCCAGCAAAAGACTCAGAAGATCTCCAACGTTCGTTCCTTATTGAGAAACCGAATCAACCAGTTTTCTGACATTATGGATTACAGCAGCAACTATTTCTTTCGACTTGAGGACTTTCTCGGCATTTCTCATGGCTGCGAAAACTGGAGAGTTTCCAGGGAATAGAAACACTGAACTGCCTCTTTGGCCAGCAGATCAAATGCAGTATATGAGCATACGATATGTTGATTGGGCTACTGCTCCGTACACTCAGATTCCCGCGCCTGGAGGTGTTCCTGGTACGTTGTTTCTCTATTTCTTTCTTTCTTTTTGAAAACCATCAACTTTTTTAAAGGTTCATATTTACATAGTCGCCAAAAATGGTACTGATGATGGATATTCGGTGCGGGTCCCTCACCACCACAGGTAGTACGCATCATATATATCGTTTCTGGGATAGGTGACTTCATTGCGCGTGCGTTCGAGAATATAGGATTGGGCCCTAAAACGCCCGAACAAATTGCAGCCAGAATGAAGTCCATGGACTTGGCAAGAAGTCCCAAGCTCTTGGGAACCAGAGTACCTTTTTCCCCTACTTGTAAAACCCATCCTTCCGGCTCACATCAGTGGGTTTGGTATGGGTTATCCCCCATGTCAGACGCCCATTGGAAAGCCAAAGGTCTTGATGAAGAGTGTCATATTGAAGAAGCGCTGTCAGTCCTTCAATCAGTAGTGGGCTATATTGAGTACACGCAGCGACCAAATATCGTAGGTAAACGTCGAAATGCATTTAACAAAATATGTGGCAAGTTGGGTGTTTTCCAGGATGCCTGCAATGCCCTCCACGCCACAAGAGGCCAGCGAATGCCCGGATGGGATTTGACAAAATTGTGGCAGGAATATATTCGGTTTGTTGATCAGCCTTTCACCATGTTTACAATGAAGAATTAACCCCGCTTCAAGGTGCCTATACGAGTTCCAACAGTATCAAGCCCGTGCCTGGCTATTTACCCACCTCCTCACGCTCCAAAAACACTGGAAAGACAGACTTGTGCGCGGTCTTTCAGGAGGAAGAGTAATGAGCGCTACCCAAGGAACAATTCGCGTCTGTCATCTCTCCATATTTATACTCAACAAAATCCAAGATCTTTATGCAGCAATAGATATCCTCGTACACAAATCTACCGATGGTTACCTCATGGCCCAGGGCATCGATCCGAGGTTCAGTGGAGTTACTGAAATTCCTGCTGCACGTATCAATGAGATACATTGAGCCATAGAGATGCAGTGAAGAAGTGAAAAGCATGCTCTCTTGGACATCATAATAGAGCGAAGAACAAGGGATTGAAGAGCAGAGCTACCAGAGCTTGATTACCTAGCATCGTTGTCATTGCTCCTCGATCGAGAATTTGCACATAAATACCTACAGCGTCATATTGAGAACCCGCCAAACGTTAGAATGGAACCTTGGATAAGAACTTTGAGCGATGTGCAGGTGCAAAACTTTGGCTTCCTAATTTATCGGCTCAGCTATAGCGAAACTGACGAAGAGTGGGCATCGAAGAATGAAAGGATCATTCAAGAGGTTGAAAAGGTTTTGGAAGAGATTGTCGGCGGCGAATGCGTGAAAGAAAGGCAGTGCTACGATGGATCGACGGAAGAAAAGTGGAAGTCGAGGAGGGTGACCTGGAAGGGGCCAGAAAGCATTTTAATTCGGCCACAATACCCGAATCTCCGAACCACATCCCAAGAGGCCTCACAACTAGAACTGCTATAGCAGTAACTCCAGCTTCGCTAAAAAGCTTCGACTATGGTTCAAAAATGACGACCCATTCAAATACTAAAGAGCTTTCTTGAGACTTCTGTCCTTTCATTCATGCCATTGATCCACAGTATGAACCGGAGAAGGGGCCATCGCAGCCCTCATCAGCAGCTGAAGGAAGACGTACTGAGCCTAGACACGTGTACACCCAAGGCTACAAAGAATCTATTCTCTTACCTCTTCATATTATTTACACGGATCCCTACGCTCTGCGCTCTGGTTCCAGCCAGGTACCGATGGTTAATATGGAGGAAATGTGGGCGATTGCTACGAAGCATCCTTGGGGTCTTTATACCGCACCCACAACGGGCGAAACAAGGAGAGAGTGGCGACAGATGAAGGAGTTAGCTGGATTCACAATCAAGTATGCTAAAGATTCAATTAGTGGAAATATTTCCAGCAATTCCTGAGGCAAGCGCTTCAAATTATATATTAAAAGGAGCAAATTGGATGGATAGGAATAAATTCTTGCTGGAACTTGTCAGGTAAGCATATAAATATTGCGACCTCAACCTCAAGTCCTTACCAGAAAAAACCAAATAACCTATCTTGATACACTCCCAAATCTTGAAAAGTAAGAGCAAGGCTCTTTGTAGTTCATGATTTTTACTACTCACCACAATGTAGTCACAATAACTCTATTTTCTGAGATACAGTGCCTGATGAGTGTGGTCAAATTCACGATCTATTTTGTATTTTCCTCAACTTACACACTAGCAATAACCAAAATTCTGTCCATGATAGCAACACGTCATCCCAAAGTGCAGCATAAGCCCCTTTGTGGGGTACGTCGTGTACCATTTACCCCACATCCCAGTACTGTGGTTTGTGATGTCGGCTAAATCAACAAATCTTTCACAGTCCGTCGGCTCATCGGGAACTCACATTAAAAAAACTGGGATTGGACCCAAATCCAAGGAATTCTGGGTCTCATACATATCACTTTCCGGTACTTGTGCTATAATGCATCGAATCGTAGTTGCGGATGGAAGCGCACCGTGTTACTAGTACCGAAAATCTACACCACCACTGGTGGAACAAGAACGTCCAGGGGGCTCGAACATATTAATCACAGCGGACTCTTTCCAGCAATTCGCGGTCATAAGACGTAAAGATATTGGCTTCCTGACTTCCTATTGGAATCAGACCCCTGAGTCCAATATTGCACATTCACAAGATAGTAGGAGAGCTCTTGAAGCCGAGGCTTTTCCATTTTCTGTCAGATTAGTCTGACGCTTGGCTATATAAGTATATATTGCCGTTTCCCTCTACTCAATTCCGTACAGCATTTCATCAAATTAAATTAATTATAATCAATTTTGTTGTCGAAGATCTAGCGGCTCATCGGTTTCATTTAAACAAACCAAGTCTGGAAATATGCTATCAATTGTTCTCGTGGCTGGACTAGCCTCCCTGGCTTCAGCTCATGGCACTGTCAGTGGTATTGTAGCAGATGGAGTATAGTAAGTCTTCACGAAGCCACATAGTTTTACATGTCCGCTGACTTTGATCGGGCTAGCTTCACAGGCTACAACCCATCCTTCCAATATCAGTCACCGGCACCTATTACAGTTGGGTGGAAGATCCCCAAGGATCTCGATAATGGGTTTGTAGCACCAGCTGCCTACGGTACTGGCGATATCATCTGCCACGTGGATGCAGGTACGGGAATCTAATTATATGAAATGTCAATAAAGTTTAATAACAGGTTGCAGGAAATGCACAAACAGCTGCACCTATCACTGCCGGCCGCAAAGTTAATCTGCAATGGACTGTAAGTACCCCATGGGTCTTGTTCTCGACTTTGAGTATCGCTCTAGCGGTGTTAAATACTTCTTGCTCCGAATGATGAGACTCCCACATATTCTTAGCAAGGAGGATGCTAACCTCCATTCTTTCCACAGCCATGGCCAGATTCCCACAAAGGAGCCGTAATCGACTACCTGGCAAACTGCAACGGCCCCTGCGAAACCGTCGACAAATCCACTTTGAAATGGTTCAAAATCAGCGAGGCCGGCCTAATCAACAAAAGCGTTACCAACGGCTTCTGGGCCACCGATCAACTTATCGCGAATAATATGACATGGACAGTCACAATCCCCTCCTCCATCGCAACAGGCAACTACGTTCTCCGACATGAAATCATTAGTTTGCATTCTGCTGGTAACGCAGGAGGTGCGCAGAATTACCCACAATGTCTGAATCTGGCGGTCAGGAGTTTCGGTAGTGATAAACCAGCTGGAATTCCTGCGACGAGCTTCTATACTGCCAATGATCCGGGGATCAAATTTGATTTGTATTCGACACTTACGACTTATACTATTCCTGGCCCGACGAAGTATACTGGTGCTGTTACGGTTTCTCAGACTATGCCGCCAAAACCGACTGCGAGCTCGACTGGGGTGTATACCGTGTTTTAATGGGGTGGGGATTTAAGAGGGAATTGAAGTATCTGATGAATATCTGTGAATTCTGTTCACATGCGGCACCCATGAACTTCTTTCGAGGGTCTTTTGTACATACTTCCGCTATATACTCAAGTCTACAAAAATACCAGTTCGGCTTTGCTCGTTGCTGAACATTCTCGGTTATATGTTTTCATTCGTATTTAGCCGAAACTCTATTTACTCGGCTATAATGGCGACTTCTCACAGCTTAAAACCGAAGCAGCAAATTCTGAGGCTACTAGAACTCCGCTAATCCTGTTTTCAAGAGAGGTTGGAATAATGGATTTTTTCCTTCTCCAAATTCATTCAACCCCCTCACGTGACATTCCCCATTCTCGGCCTACCTAGGTATTTTCCCTCCCTGAACCCCAAGCGGGCCAATCAGAATTGAGAACCAGCAAGAGAATCATCTTACATATGTGGCCATAAGGCGCAAAAATCCTGCGTACAAAAAACATCCCGATGAAGATTTAGAATCCTACAAATACGACGCGGGTGATGAAAAATATGTGGAGAGTATGCAATGCAGGCAGAACGTGATACGCCACAGAAAACGTGGAATTATGACTTCAACACCTTGCAACTATCGTAAATATTTTCGCATCATTTTTATACACATTTGTGTTCCATCAACATGGCTTCTCCACCACCCCATGAAGTCTTAGCAATTGACCCCGAAGCCGGGGATGATGAAGAGGCGTTCGCTTTACCAACCACCTCGGCCTTGCAAGTCGGGCATCATAAGCTCGAGGTTTGTTATCTTGAAGTCGTGACACAACTAGATAATTCTGGTCTGATATTGTCTTTTCTAGATTGACGATAACGCTGGGAAAGTGGACGATGAAATTGATGTTGGTTGCACTGTACGTTGTTTCATTTTATTATGGCAATCTTTACATCAATTTTGCGCGTACATCGAAAGTTGATGAGAGAGTTTCCACTCGGTATTTCAAGGTAACGCAGAGCTGAAAGTGTGTGTTCGCAGATCAGATACCGCGTCCGTATCTTCAAGCATGTACGATAGTGTCGAAGAAAATGGAATGACTTATCATAAGTATAGGGAAGGAAGGAACGAATTATTCCCCTCAACTCTTTTCTCCGCGGTATATATCACTAAATCAATCAACTAACTAACAAAACCTAGAATACTTTCTCCCAACCGACGAGGTATGACCCTGCTTAAACCCGTCTCTCATTGCTAATCACATGCTTATTGTTTGCCCTTCCTCGTAGCTTGAACAAAATAGATTAGGTACATCCCATCTATGTTATTTCACTATACTTGAACAAATTTGACATCTCCTCAGATCTCCAACACGAGCTCTGCAAAATGTCCCTGCACGGACGTCTCCATCTCGCGCCTCTGAAAGAAGAAAGCCTACAACACGCCCTCGATTTTGGAACAGGGACCGGAATCTGGGCCATGGAATTTGGTACGCCCTTTATCATAGCCCAGCCATGCGTTCCTTTAGATCTTAGACATAAATAAGGTTGAGGTCGTTGACAAATGAGTAGCGCAGAAATACCCAAATTGCAAAGTGATAGGAAATGACTTATCACCTATACAACCAGAATTGTAAGTCGGGAATGGATACCTATGACGATGGGAAGGGGTGAAGTAAATGAGAGAGAATCGCTGACGAAAATAGCGTAACCCAGAATCTGGAATTTGAGGTTGACGATGTCGAAGATGAATGGGTGTACGCCCACAAATTCGATTTCATCCACGGACGATTAAGTAAGCTCCTTCCTTCTCCCACCTATCTCCTCCCGAAACACTTCAAGCGAGGGAAATAAGCTCAAAACTGCAATCATTTCAACCAGTTCTTTTAATCAAATTACTCTTCCAACCTAACAACAACAGTGGCATTCGCCCTAACCTCCCCCCTCACTCTTTTCCACCGCGCCTTCACCTCCCTTTCCCCCGGTGGATACTTCGAAATGCAAGACCCCGCACCCCCAATCCGCGCCTTCGACAGCACCCTCACCCCCTCCCCCGCCCTGCTCCGTACCGCCGTCCTCCTCTTAACCGCCACTCAAAAAGCAGGGATCGATATCACAGCCCCCTCTCGCTACGCCTCCATGATGGCTGAAGTCGGGTTCGTGGATGTAAAAGAGGTGGTTATCAATTGGCCCGTAGGCACGTTGGCCAAAGGAGAGTATCATAAGAAGTTGGGTGCGTGGTTTCGCAGGGATATGGAGGTTGGTGTTGAGGGGATTCTTATGGGGCTTTTTACTAGGGTTCTTGGGATGGGGAGGGATGAGGTTGGGGTTTTGGTGGAGGAGTTGAAAGGGGAGATGAGGGATGATGGGTTGCATGCTTTTCAGCCTTTGTGAGTTTGAGTCTCCTTTTGATGTCTCGGTTTTGGGGTTTTAATGGTGGTTCTGGAATTGTTTTTCGAGTGAGATAGATTATGGATTGTGCTGATGGTTTGGTATAGTCATGTAGTCTATGGACGGAAGCCGAGAGAAGGCGAGGTTTCTGCTGTTTCAGGGTAAGAGATTTCGAGAAGCAAGAGCATAGATATATAAAAATAGAAAAGGACAAATACTGTAGTAGACCGATAAATGCGGAAAAAATGAAAATCTGACAACTTCGATTGATCTTGATAACGGAAGAAGAGACTGAGAATAGGCGACCACAGCGCCAATGAATTAAGATTAAGGGTATTCACACAAACTCGGTTAATCGCGGAAATTCCGTCAAGGGCAGTCAGATGGACACTGCCTCTCTTAAGCGCAAGACAGCTTTGGAATCGAGTTTACTTAGCAAAAAATGGCAAGCTATGAGACAAATGAAAGTATGTGAGGAGTCGACAACTACTGATGCAACTTGTGATACCGTCTCTTATGGAAGATACACCAAAGACTTGCCCAGATAATACGCATGATAAGAAGGCCAATCCTTCATTCAGACCAAAAAACCCAGCTGGGAGAAACTTGGTCATTCCTCTATACATACCTCGCTTCAAAAAACTTAGTTCAAAAGACCTTGCACAGCTCAATTTATCATACAAATAGTTTAGTATAATTATTTCTTTTGCCTTCTTGTTACCCTAGGTATACCAAGACAAGTAATTGACTTATACTTATTATTATTATTATTATTATTATTCCTTTTAACGTGCTGTGTGAGTCTGAGACTATAGTAGCACGGCTGGGGGTTTCCCTCCA